AAACACTCCAGCTCTCCAGACAACTCAAAGACCAAGCAGTAGAAGCCCAGGCATGCTATAGTCTTGGAAACACGTACACGCTGCTTCAAGACTATGAAAGAGCCATTGAGTACCATCTAAAACACCTGGTGATAGCACAGGAGCTGGGAGACAGGTAAAGAACTGCCTCAGGAGATGGTGCCTCTGCTCTGCTGGGTTCAAAGCATGGGCCATTCCCTGTTGATCTGTTGTTCTCTGCTGCTGGGGTAGGTCTTAGTCCTGTCATTTGTGGAAAAGTACCATGATTGACACCTTTATTTTGTCATTCCAACCTGGAGATTGTGCCCTGAATGCTTTGTCTGCGTGGGCTGAGTGAGATTTCTAGGAAGAGGTAGCTGAAGAAAATGCATCATATTCAGTGCCTTGTCATGTGGCTACTGCTGCTTTATCCCAAAAGGGCTCTAAAAGCTCCTTCAAGTTCACAGGAAATGTATCTTTCTTAGAAACTGTGTGCCCGGGGCAGGTACATGTGTCACTTTGTCCTGTGCTCTGAGGCGATGCTGGAAATGTCCATGTAGAATTGATGATGTTACATAGAGACAGTGGAGATTATATATTTTGCTTCTTGGCCTCACAGAATCCCAGACTGGCTTGGGTTGAAGGGACCTTAAAGCTCCTCCAGTTCCAACCTTCTGCCACGGGCAGGGACACCTTCCACTAGAGCAGGTTGCTCCAAGCCCCTGTGTCCAACCTGGCCTCGTTCCTTCTTCTTTAGGAGATTTGGCCTTTTTTTCTCTTTCTTTTTAAAATATGTATTTTTGAGAGGCTGGTTCCTGCCTCCTGGATATTCTCTGTAACCCTGGAGCCTTTTCGCAGCTGAAGTGACTTTGCAGCCCCGTGTTCAGTGTTGCTGCTGCTGGCTCTCAGGAAGCCCGGGTGTCCTCCACTAGATGGAGCAGAGACATTACAATGGGAGATGCGTGGCACTACCCAGTATCTGCTCGGGGAAGGTCTAATCCCACCCAAGGGTGAATCACGCTGTGGGGGTGCAGGCCTGTGGGCTCCTGCATTGCTGGGAACACACCCTATGAGCAGAAGGTATTGAACAGGCTGACAAGAAGAACGTTTAAATGCTGATGAACCCGCCCAAAGCCCTGCCAAGGGAGCTGCGGAGCTGCAGTCATGCTGAGCCGCCCCCCGCGCCCCCGCTGCTTTTTTTATCCCTCACCCCCCACATCTGCTCCCCTGCAGAGCTCTGCACCTCCCAGCAGCAAACAGATGCTGAAACCTGCCCCAGAGACACCCA